GGTTGGAGATAGGTTTTTTTGTCAAAGGACTATGTTTAGCCTATGACCATTTGGCCCCCTTGGTTTGAGATAATATAAAATATGGTATGACATTGTTCATTAAAATATAATTTGTTGAAGGGCTATAAGGCTAAACATTGCCCTTTGGCCCTCCTTCGGTTGAAGATGGCCTTAGCTTCTTGTCTTTATGATTAGGATCTTCGTAATGCTGATTGGTCTCTCATAAACTCACAATGCAAATGGCGGATTGTTCTGATATTTAGGGCCTTGAGGGATCGAAAGCTCGAGAAGTCCAATATCCTTGTCGGATAAGACTAGAGGTAGCAAATTAATTTATTGGGTTTTTGATGGGTACCCCCATTAAGGGGTATTTAGTTTGATTTCACCTTAAACCATCATCATCACAACTAACCTCGCATACACATTGTGGTAATATTAAATTAAACGGATCTTAACGGGGATCCATTAACAACTTAATGGGTTGATTTGCCACATCTACATAAGACCATGCTTTGGTTGATAGGCTACAACTGCTTTGTCAAAGAAGTTTCTAAATTTGGAGGTGGAGGGAGATTAGAAGATCTTTCTTAATGATGTTAACATTGCTATTTACAATCCTTAGCATTGTCACACCTTGGTGGACAATATTCAAGAGCTTGCTTGCATATTTAGAATATTTTTTTGTTGGTCATATATATCGGGAAGCCAACTTTGTAGAGAATGAGTTGGCAGGTGTGAGAGTGAGACACTTTTCTTTTAGTAAGCTTAGGTATCGTTTGGTATGCAGACGGGACGGGACGGGACAGGACGGAACGGAACGGAACGGAGCGGGAGCAAAGATGCTCTCGGATGGAAACAAGGAGGAAGAAGGAGACAGAGAGGTTATAATTTTGTGTTCCACGGATGTGGAACGAGTTGTTCCAGGGGATGAGGTGGAACGAAAATTCACCCAAAACTCGTCCCGTGGAACAGCTCGTTCCACCCGTTTTAGGCGCACCAAACGTGGGACGGAATGCCTTGTCCCACTCTGTTCCGTCCCGTCCCACGTACCAAACGGTACCTTAAGTGTTTGCCTACACACTTTATGTGTATAAACACATTTTTGTAGAAAATGAGAAGGAGAGAGGGAGAGAGAGAGAGTGTGTGTGTGTGTGGAGAGTGGGAGGTTTTTGTTTTTTTTTTTTTTAAAATATTGCAGGAATTTTAACATCACTTATATGTGAGGCTTCAATAAAAAACAGTAAAATTTAGACCTGTGAAATTACATTATTGTCCATCATTTTTTTTTTGTGTGTGATAGAAGACTAAGTAGTCTTTTCACCTCTTTTGGTTGACAAAGAGGGTTTCATTAATTAATAGAGATTTGAATGCATACCCTTTCTAATGAGGTTGGCTACCAAAGAGGATTCTCTTTGTAATTTATGTTTTTCTTTTTTTAAAAAAAAAAACTACAAAATAAAATTTGACAATTTGACATAAATGATAAATTCATAAATTTCAATTGTTGAACTGATCAAAATTTAAAGTTAATGAAAAATTGATCATATATGGACAACATATCGACCAAATAATGAAACTTGACCATTTCAGTAGTTGTGATGGTATGCATTTTTCTTTGTGCTTGTAATTTCATTTTTCACATAAAAAGATTTTTTTTTTTTGAACAAACAATATTATCTGGATGAGCTTAACCTCATAATAGACTAGTAATAATGCGATTCAAATTCATCTACATAAAAATATTATAAATACATCATTTGGTGCTAATTTTTTTTAAATTTTTTTGTTCTTTGTTTTCGGGTATAGAAGCGAGGGGGTTTGGATTTGTCAATGTGTACATTGTGTGGGGTTTGCCCCAAACGCAAGTCATCTCTCACCATAATTGAAGGAATTAATATTTGACTTTATCTCTGCTTTTGTTTCGCTGCTTGCAGCTGTGTGTCTTCGGGGCGCTTATTGTTTTGCTATTTCCGCTCCCAGAGCCCTAATCTTTGGAAAAAAATTCCTGGTCCGTCGTCTTAACCGTTTATCGTATATTATACGGTTAATTTTCGTTAGATATTATTTAGATTTAATTTTAAATTTTTAAATGATTTCTAACTGTACGATGAACGGTCACGATCACGAAATGTCTAGGATCCCTAAGAAAATGGTCCAACGAGGATCATTTTCCTTAATCTTTTTGTCTTTAAATTTTTTTTTTTTTTTAAGAAAAACTAATGAAAAATATTTGAAAATTTTTAGTTTTAACAATAAAGACAACATAAAAGGTAAAGTGATTAATACAAGATTAACTTTTTAATATTAAAATATAATTTTTAATTTTAAAATATAATTTTTCGTTAAAATAAAAGGTAATGAGATATTTTTGTTAAAATTTTATTTATTTATTTATTGGAAAGTAATCTATGTCAGTGAGTCAGTCAACGACTTTGACATGTGAAGATAAAAAGCTCATTGTCTTTTTTTATTTTTTTTTTCGAAAAAAGCTCATTGTCTTTGGACTTTGTTAAAAGACAACGTCGTGGGCCCCACCCTCAACTTCATCTGGTCCACATGCAGGCGAGCGTTGGCCGACGTGAACTAAAATCTCACACGCCTTCCGTTTTAGGAAAGGGATGCTTTGTGGACCCCTTCTACCAAGCCTCTTGCACTCCAAACATATAAAAAAGGGTAAATTACATTTTACCCTTCAGGTTTGGATCGATTTCAATTCTTTACATTCTTAAAACATTTCAATTTTATACTTCAAGTACTATTTTCAATATAATACATCTTTTACATTTTTCATCTATTAGTCTGTTAAGAGCTGACGTAGTTGCCACATTTGTGCTACATGGCTAAACATTTAATAAAATATTAAAATAATTATTTAAAGAAAAGTTAAAAAAAAAAAAATTAAAAAAAAAACCCCATATCTCCTTCCCTAGAATCCCCACCCTCCCACCCCGCATCACTCACCCCTTCCCCCATCCCCCATCACCTGCAACCATTTCCCTCCCCATTGCGCCTCCAAAAACATTCCCCGTCCAAACCACCATTGCCCCCTCCCCCGCACGGCTGCCGTGTGGTTTTCTACCATCTTTCCCCACCCTAAATCCAAATTTTTAAAGCCCAACAAGCAAAACCCTTTTGCCTTGGCTTTGGCAGCTGCTGTATCTTCTTTCACTTTTTCTTTTTGCAAACTCAGAGGCATATATGGACTCCTCAAAGCTTTCTGTCCATCCTTACCAGAAAGAAAATGGGAGGGCGGCGGCGGTGTATGATGCCGAGTCCCTGCACTCTTCCTCCCGTCAGGCGCAAACCCACCATCCTCTGCCACAAAACCCAGAAGAGGAAGAGAGAATTGATTAAAAAAAAACCCAAAAGACGAAGAGAGAGAAGATTGAAATTTGAAGTGGGTTTTTGGTTTTTGAAATTGTGAGGTTCTACAATTCCTTGAAACTATTGGATTTTGGGGTGGGTTGGGAGAGGCTTTGGTTTTGGATTGAGATAAAATGGGTGGGTGGGTGGTTGCATCTGTTCGAGTGGTGAGGTGGGGGTGGCTCTTGTCTTTTGGGTTGATGAAATGAATAATGGCAGTGGCTTGGGTAAGATAGAAAGAGAGAAAGGTGGTGTGGTGAAAAATGGTGGTTTGGGGAGCTTGGGAGTGGATAATCGGGATGAGATTCTCGTAGCGGTTGAAGGTCGAGAATTGGGGATTTTGGATCTGGGGATTTTGAGGGGTTTGGGGTTCGAGAGAGAGAGTGGGGAAGACGAACTGGGTTTCGGTTTTTTTTTTTGTTTTTTTTAATTAATTATTTGAAATTTTTTACTAAGTGTTTAGTCACGTGGCATAAATATAGCAGCTGCGTCAGCATAAATATGAACATCTTATTTGCCACGTCATCACTTAAATGTTTATTTAACAGATTTTCTAACGGATGTATGAAATTGAAATAAAATAGTACTTGAGGTATGAAAGTGAAATATTTTAAAGATGTTGTAAGGAATTGAAATCGACCCCAAACCTGAGGGGGTAAAATGTAATTTACCCATAAAAATATAACATAAAATATAGTTGAAATGGGTACACAACAACATTTTGGAGTATCAATAACAATATCATTCTTCGCCTTTCATGATCATTCATTAAAACCGTTAAAACCGCATCAATTTATTCTTCATTCATGATAAATGATGTACTATAGTTTGGCCACTACTTAGCCCATAAAGTATGTAAAAGAAGAGATAAACTCTTGTCATGTAAAAGGGATCCTTCACCCTTACTTTAGAAAGAGTCAACCGTGCCACTTTACTCTTTCAAAGGCAACAAACCTCTTGTACAATATAACCTACATTTACATAGTGAAAACAGAAACTACACCATCCAGCATAGATGTAATGCCAACTCGAGCTGAACCACAATACATCCTTGTATTCTTATGTTTGTGTGATTTACAATCGAATCAAAATTGGTCCAAGATTAACCAAATTTTGTGCATGAACAATATCAAATCTAAGGGTACATGAACATACATTCCTTGGTCACCAAATGACCAAAACATTTCTGTGATGTGAAAATAATGACTTTTAGGAAAATTACAAATCATCTATAAAATAAAGTAATTTGGCGTTTGACAACTATTACAATTGATTTAGTCCCTTAATCAGTTTTATGTGTGAAAAAAATGTTGTGTGGGTGTGTATAGTGAAGGAAATGTTTTTTTCAGTCAACTATTATTCTCTATAAGAAAATACAACGAGATAGTTCTCTGTTTGTTTAGCTATTTTTAGATTACTTGATGGGTGCTCTTTCTTTTCGTCTTAGATGGAAAATTAAATTATTTTATCTGATATTTTTACTCAAATTTTAAATTCATAAAAAAGAGAAAGTAGGTTAAATTTTAACCGGTGGTGCTATTCATACATTAATTTTTACATCTCACATACCCTTGTCAATTTCTGTCATTTAAACTTCATTTTATTCGATCCGACAGCCAAAAATTAAGAAAAGTGTGTGAGAGATAAAAAGAAGTGTGTGAATAAGTTGTTACGACCAACAAAATTAAGACAGAGAGGAGCAAAAACTTACAATAAGGGAAATTATTCCCTTATTAAAAAGTTTAAGGTAATTTAACTACGAAGTTAGAAACTCAATCAAGGGTTTATTACGAGTACCACGTATCTTTTGCTTATTTTCGGGAAAGAGGGCATGGTATAGGCCATGGAGAACTTACAAGTAAAATAAGTTGGCAAATTTTATCAATCTTCAAGCTCGATGATCTTGATCACAGAAGCATCGCCAACTTTCTGGCAAATTACAACACGATCATGTGATTTTACGACACCAGCGACCCTGCCATGATCCAAAGCGATTTTAAGAATCGACTCATTTGTTGCACCTGTAGTTTCAGCCTGCAGGGGAGAAAGGGCAGGGAAGAAAAAGAAACGTCTCAGTCTCAGCCTGATCCGATGGGCAGTGAAGCATGCAAAAGAACATGCATCATGAGATGAACTGAAGTTAATCAACAACTATAACGGACTCATGTCCCTAAAAGCAGGCTAAGCAGCCTCCCCTCCTCTTTTCAAACCATTTTCAGAGAGAAAAAAAGGCATCTTATGTTAACCATTTCGACATCTCCTAGTTAGAATTTCGCTAATATTACTACTCAAGTCTTCTGTGCTGCAAGAACAATGGTATTCCGCTCCAGGTCTTTGAACTATATTCATTAGGGCAGCATAAGATGATAATAAGAAGTTCAGGGTGAACGAGAAACGCAAATCAATCAGTTTTAACGAAAGGAAAGATCTGGGAAACCATGTGATGATTATATGCATTAAGCATTGCTTTCTCCTATATATGCAATCAACAGGATACATCTTACGTACGTAGGACAAAATCAGAAATGACACAGAATAATACTTACTGGATGTCGAGGATCTGCTAGCATGGGAAAAAGGCCTCTAACAATGAGTGATTGCCTTGCCTGCCAAATATTCATCATAATAAAAAGATGGATATTGTGTGCATCAAATTCAGTTGGAGAATGTAAATCACAAAGAAGCAAAAATAAGTCAAATAATACGATTGTCTGCTAATCATTTTTCTCAATTTTAAATCTTCAGTTAGTAAGAGATACATGTTAAAAGTTATAACATCCAACCCAAAACCGATTGGCACTCGGCATAGACTGTAGAGGCTCAAGATATCAAAATGTGTTTTTGCGCGCGCGCGTGTGTTTTGTCATCAAGGCACAGAATTCCCGATGTGGGATTTCTATGAAATGAATGGAGTCAAACATGTGGATCAGTTAATATTTGGTAACGCGGAGCATGTATAGCCATTGGGCCTGACATGCAGATGAATTATATGCTCTGATACCATCATAAAATAGAGCATCCAACTCAAAACCCAGTGGCAACAGGTGGGGAGGCTGAAGATATAATCTACCGCCATGCATGCTTAAGTGGAGGGACAAAGGGAGAAAGACAACATTAAACAAAGTAACTACTCCAGGATTATGTCCCAACTGGATAAAACATTAGTGGGCGCATTCTATAGCATCTAGCAGAAACTTGAAAAAATAAACTTGGTAGTGCATAAAAACCAAAGGTAATCAGTTGGGCAACAAACCTCAAATGCACCAGAAAATCTCCATCGGAGTTGATTTGTCTGGACCCGAGGAATGACAACAGAAAGGACAGGCATTGTTGGTCTGTACTTGGCAATCAGCCTACACTAATGCCCAAGTATCAAAACCGGTATATGCACAAGAGTGAACATGACATTTAAAAAAGATTTGTATCTAACATCGTAAACTATCAAAGAAAAACTTCTATTATTTATATTTCACAATTAAAGTACATCTAACTGAACTTCAATCAGGAAACTAAAATTTTACACGAAACTGAATCCCATTAGCCTTACCCACTTCCTAATGAAATGGTAATCAAAAGGGCCCTAAGAATTTGAGTTTATATATACATATGAGGGTAGAAGAAGGAGATAAGAGAAATTCACCTTGCTGCTCTTCCAGATGAAGTGAAGCAAATAATGAGAGAGGCCTTCACCTTGATGGCTGCACGTACCTAGAAGAAGATAATTTTTTTAATAATTTTTTTCTTTTGTAGCGAAATATATTTTATCCGTCGTACATGCTTCTGTTAGCAACATCTCTTCCGGGAACAGGCAAATGGTACAATAAAAAGAAAGAGAAGAAAAAAAATGGAAAACACCAAAGCAGAAAACTACCGCAGAGGAAGCAATAGATTCCAAGTGAGTCATTGGTTCTCCAACATATTTGACAGTCCTCTTAAAATACAAATCTTGATTGAAAACTTTCTCCGCCTGCAGACAGTAATTTGATAAAAGAAATAAGTGAACTCAGAATTTTGTCTTGTCATTGTACTTTAATTTATAAGAATTTTTAATAAACCATCATACGAAACACGTATTTCTACACTCTACAGCCACTTCGAATGGTTGAAGATCAAATGAGAGGGAGACTACAGAATAGCCATGACCATTTTTAACTTACCAATATTAATTCCACCAAAAAATGTCGATGCAGAATCTTATGTCCTGTTTTATTTCATATTCTTCTTTTGTTTCTTTCCTGTTGCTATTCGGGTTGCGATTACATTCCTATTTGCAGTAGGGCTAGGTTATTACAAACTCGAACGATCGATTAAACAAATCTTTTCCCAAAGCAATCTTCTTCTAAATTCTCCTCGATATATCTCTTTTTCTATCTTATAAATATAAATTCTGGTATTGGTTTTACATCAAATGTACTCCTAGGCATTAGGAGTTGGTAGCATCTATGCTAGAAATCATCAAATTCTAGATCAGAAATGATAAAACCAGAGAACATAAACAATGCTCAGTGTGCTAATATGTCAGTTATGAATCACAGCTTCAGAGAACTGCGAAAACAAAGCTGAAAGAGAGGAGACTGAAAAAATTAAAAATAAAGCAATGACCCAATATAAGAAGACTGGGAGTTTCTTAAATGTACAACAACCTATGGCAAACTCACCCTCAGAAAGGAGAAAACTAATAGGATGAAAAAACCATGCTACTTCAACACTAGTTTTGAAACTACACTTCTGTAAAAGCCTCTACTGTTGTAGGACAATCATAAGAGAAATGAAGAAAAGAAATATATGGGTTCACTCCAGCCTTTGGCATTGCACCAAAGGTGTATTGGAATCACTCCAATAGAGGAATTAGAAAACTTTCGGCACCACAAGAAGGAGATTGCGAGAACTTCTTTAACCGTAAACTTTCAAAGCTCATAAATTAACTCATCCACAGAACCATCGGCACATGAATCATTGAAAAGACTCAAATTAAAACACTATATATTCATGATGCCCAATGCATTCATCATGTGATATGAGATTCCAAATCAAGGATCCTAAAATACATGTGCAAAATGCATTTATTGCATAATTGGAATAAATAATCTGAATCATGTGGTTCTTAGTAATTGAATGGGCTTATTTATTATATTTGAATTTGGTTCCGCCATCATCCCAAAAACACGGGGATGCTACAACTGGAAGATTTCTTTCTTTTTCAGGGAGAGAGAGAGAGTTACCTCAGAGCAAATCTTTCCAACAATGGAGATCGTCTCAACAGGGTACAAACCGCGCAGGGTCTCTGCACCTAGAACAATTGCATCAGTTCCTGCACAAACACAAATGAAAAGTGGGTAAATAAGTGCACATGTTGTACTTGTACATCCTATGATAACATTAACTTATTTAATAAAGCTGAAGCAACAGGAGTATTGCAATACTAATGATATTTACTAACACTAGCAGAGCAAATATTTAAGTGATGACATGAAAGAATAAATGAGATGGTGGAACCCTCCAAAAGTAACATAAAGGAGCATATTTCATGTCAAAAGACAGCAATTTACCGTCCAGTACAGCGTTGGCAACATCAGTTGCTTCAGCACGAGTAGGTCTTAGGTTGTCGGTCATACTGTCCACAACCCGAGTCACCACTGCTGGCTTTCCAGCCATGTTGCACTTGTAAACAGCAGCCTTTTGAAATAAAAATACCTGGAAGATCAATGTAGAGTGTATTACCAGAATATTCAAGCATCATTACAGAAAATATCCTCCAACTAAAAGTATAAAGATACACATCCATCGAAGAATGGAAACACACGCTCGCTAAAAGAATATGTGGTTCCCAATCCTCAGTACTGTAAGTACCCCCAGCATTCTGGTCACCATCAGAGGAAATAGACATTTGATAAGTAACTATTTAATTCTTCCTCCAGAATACTAGTCCACATATACTGGAATGCAAATACAATATGCCACATACAAGACATGGTTCTCAGGTAAGTCCTACAAGCACGGTATATCATGTAGACTGTTTGACAATGACTTTCTCATTACTTGTGTAGCCCTGTGCAGTTTATGTAAAGACATAAAGGAACATGACTACTAAAGTGTTCATAATATTAACAACTACCATAAGATTACTTAGTTCTCAGATGTGAAACATTACCTTCTCTGGTGGGAGATCTATGCCCAGATTTCCACGAGAGAGGATAATACCATCAGCTTCTTGCAAGATTTCATCAAAATGGTGTAATCCCTGCGAAAATAGAGAACACAAACTACTTCACATCCAAGCACAAGTATGATATTTGGAAATCTGGTCAGTCACACACGATCATTTTCCGCCAAGCATATTCCTTACCACCATTACGGCCTAAATACTGAGGGCTTTCCACAAATGTGGAACCCATGTGTCAAGTTCGTAACCATATCCATAACCCAAACCTGACGGTGACAATATTAGTAACTTTGTTTTTGCACTCCTTTTCAAAGAAACTCACCTCAACATTTTCAATTTTTGCAAAAATCTGAGTTTGCTTGAGGTCACCTAACTTTGAAAGAAACTCACGGGCCTGCATAATAGCAAGAACAGCTTATGTTAAAATCGAATAATAATACTTCCTTGAAAAGAAAAGAATAATAATGAAACGGTACTTAGTTTCTCCTCATATTATCAAAAGTAGAAGGAAACATAAATTACGCAGAGACTTAAGCCCTAAATACGAGTTAACCACATCATAAACTAAGGATGAACAGGGAGAAACAAATTTCCTTTATATCTTATTACACAAGACCATAACAGACAGGAAATCCTGTCATGAAGAATCCTTACATGGCGAACATCTTGAGCATGACGAGTATATGATAATGATAGGAAGTCGATGTTGTTACGAACACCCCAAGTGCTTATGACCTGAAAAATTAATAAAATGTTAAAACACATTAACTAAGCAATTCACGTAAGAATAGATCTCCTTTTATAGAAAGTAAAACGACTTTTTTTGTATATAGTTTCCTCAAAGTGATTTTAATGAATTAAAAGTTACCTCATCAACCTAGAAGCAATGTAATTTACAACCTATAGAGAACAAACTAATCTTATCCCAAAGAAGAAGAAGAAGAAAACTGATTGTTTCTTACCATCCAAACAATCCACAAACCCATCTAATAAACGGGTCCATAATTTCCTTCTGAATTTCAATGCTAAAATTAATGATAGCGTGAAAATTTGAAATCCACAAGTTAGTGAATCCATGCAGACAAGAAGCAGACAATTCAATTTTGAGGCTTGTAGGTGGATCTAATTATGTTAGCATCTAGTACTGTGATTTCAACAGAAACTAACCTCCTTATCTTTATCGGTAAGTGTAGGCAGATCAATATGAATCTGAGAGACATGCAAAGTATACAACGGCCCTGCCAAGGTAGCAGAATTCTTTATGAGACAAACCACATCTTCACCATTCACCTCGGTGACCTGCATCGTGAAAGCAAAACGTTACAATAACATGCAAATCATTTCTTTTTCCTGAGAATATTATGTAAAAAGAACGCAGATGGTATCTTCAAGAGACATCTGCCAACCGAACGGATGGAGGCTCATAGCAAATCCAATGGAAGCAATAGACAAAAGATAAGGCCCACGGGACCATACTGCAGGTAGCAAATATAGAGTTCCTAGAGGTTTTATATATATTAGAATTTCAGAACCCAGGTCAGTCATCAAATTGATAACTTCTGATGATCCCCTATAAATATCATATATGTAAACAGTTGTGGGCCTTGAGAGACTACAGGTTCCGCTGCCAAAGATTCTATCAAGTTTATAGCATTCATTTTTAGCTTTATTCTGCTACCAAAGCTTCACCTAATTACAAATGTATGTCTAACTTGTACTATAAATTTAAAAAAAATTTAAAGTTGAATATCAGCATTCCGTATCTCTCAGAATATCTGGTCCCTCTCTTCCTTATATAAACAGGATTTCATAGGAACAAGTAGAAAAGCAATGAATAAAGTGGCTACTTGTTTTAACTTCTAAATATGTGACAAGGAATGCATATCTAACTAGGCAAGTAGTTGAATTACTGAAACTCATCTCTGATATTTCCTTACCTCCAGCCACACAGAAGTAGTTTCACTTCCCGTAAAGAGGTATTGACCAATAAAAATTGTATCTCCCTTCTTCACTGCCTGCAAAGGCCAAATTTAACTCAACTCATTGCAGCAATGCCAATGTAATGTGAGACATGTTGTAAGATAAATATAAAGAACCAAACATGGTTCTACAAGCTTCCAAAAATCAGGATCAGGAAGTCAAAATCAATCTATATGAATTGGTTCCTCCAAGAAATCATTCCTGAAACTAGAAGATGAATTGGTTCCTCCAAACTCTTGTGACGTGATATGATATGATATGGATGGCCCGAACTTTATTTGTCTCTCTGTGTACAATAATTCTATACCAGAAGTAAAGCATCTAAAATACAGCAAAAATTCAAGACTGAAAGAAACAAAAGAATCAACACAAACTTTTTAACTGAATTCTCTCTCTGTCTCTCTCAATAATTCCATAGAATCCATACCAGAACTAAAGCATCTAAAATACAGCAAAATTTCATGAACTAAAAGAAACAAAAAAGTCAGCACAAAGTCCCATATGTTTGAAACGGTTTAGTCATTTCATTTTCGTCAAATACATAGATGCACAGTGTTTTGATAAACATAGAAATCATTGTTATAATCACAAATGGCTAATTTATTCCCTATTTGATTATTTTGCCGAATAATTATACTTAGAATGTGATGCTTGTGTGTGGGTGGGAGTGGGGCTTGGTTCAACTGAAAAACATGGATGCTCATTGGAAAAACAAACAATGCGTCATAAGCCCTGTCCCTCACTGATGTCAGAATAATAAGTCAGTCTCTTTCATGGATAGCTCAGTTTGGTAAGCGCAAAAACAGTTACATAGTCCATATTCACCCAAAGAAATAGATTGGCACAGCAAAGTTCATCGCTGTAGATCCAATAGAACCGAGGATTCTAATATAGCAAGATATATGTCTTTCATAGAGATAAGCCAGAAAATATTCAGAATGACACCTTTGCCAGGCCACTAAAATTTATGGGTAGTAGAATTGAGGTGGCCTCTTTGTCTTGATCAGGTGTCAGGACAACCAAGGTATCTTCCTGGAGAGATATGGGATGCTCACTTTTATTCACTACCTGCAACTCTGGACCCACTGTGTCTAGCATTACCTGGAAAAACAGATAAATACACCAACTTGTAAGCATACATATCCAAAGGTTCACATGAAGGTAACTCAGAAAGTAAGTAAATCGACATGAAGGCTTTGCAAGTTAAGGTGATTTAGTGAAAGGAACACAACAAATTAAATAATGCAGATACAAAAGCACAGTTAAAAGTTCAATTTTAGGATCATTATACAGTTAGATAATTTAGAGACGAAATGCAGAGGTCATAAGAATGGAAAGCTTACTGCACAAAGTTTATTTGTACTCTTGATTGCAACCTTCAGGTTTCCCAACGTCTCTTGGTGAAACTCAGCATCGCCCCATGAAAAATCAAAACGTGCCACTATGTATACATGGGGTGTGTGTGAAGGAAATTATACACTCCAATTAGTAAAATCAATGGTGTATCAAATTAAAAAAAAAGGAATTCAAATTGGAACGTATAAAAAAAACCGCCGAAAAGGACTTTGTCTCAACGGATCGTAATTGGAAGATACTAAAGTATTATAGATAGGGAGCTAGCAAAAACAAGAAGCTGGCAACTCATAATCAGACAGACGAATCATGAAAATCAAACATAGCAGGTGGATAATACCAGACATTCCTGCCTTCAAGCAACCAGAGATTGTCTCAACGGATCGTGAATTTGGACCAAGTGTTCCCACAATCCTTGTCATTGCAGGAAAGAAGGTCTGCAAGTTTAGCATTAATCAAAGGCAGTCGCACATTCAAAGTCCTTCACATCAACACTTCCACAAATTCACCAAATAACCCATAGAAATTCAGAGAAAATATCCTGGTTGGTTGGAAGTAAAGATTTCTCTAATAAGAAATATCACCATCCAGATTCTCACATTTTCTCGGCAACCAAACACATCACAAAATTTAAAATCCAAGAAGGAATGCAGATTCGAGCTACAACCCGCAAACACAGGGAGTTGAACTTAGTTTTAAGTAACAGCCAAACAGGTAATGCTGCAGAAATCCAGGCATTGTGTATTTTCTTTTCAATCCCTTCATTTTCTCGGGAAACAAGCACAATGCAACTTCGTCACTTGCTGAAGAAACAAAAGCAAGCCTCTCCCTCTCTCTCTCTCTCTCTCTCTCTCTCTTTCTCTCTCAATCAGTAACTGAAAATTAACTAACTAACAGCGACTTCAAACAGAAGCAAGAGATTAGAGTAATTGGAAAAACTTACAGAATTGGAAGGCTCGAGAATCGAAGCCATCCTGATTGGCTCTTCCGGAAACAAGTGACTCGAATGCATTTTCGCTGCCGACGAAGAAGAAGACGACGACGACGACGAGCAACAGCGTCTGCGACTGCAACTGCAAATGCTTTTTTGTGGTGTTTGAGTTGAGAAGGCGAGATTTTCTTAGTGGTGTTTCCTACTCTACTTGCTAGTTTATGAGCGAGCATGTGGTTGGTTGGTGATATCGGCAGTTAGACACGTGGACAGTGCGTTAGGGGAAAGATCCCCGGATGCATGTGTGGACCATGTGGTCCATTCGTCAATATGCTTGTACACTACAATGTCTTTGCCGGACTTCTATCGATGTTTATGTCGTGTTAGTTGTGAGACAACCAATTAGCGGAGTAGGAAACTCCCAATCATGATTCATCATAATCTACCGTTATGGATCACGGTGTTCGTTGAAATGAAAGGCGGTTATGAACTACATGCTTTCTATTGAGATTGAATTAAGTGTGAGATTACAAGTTTTTTTATTTTATTTTCTTTGTAGAATTGTTGCAGTGCTATTAGATTAGGAATGTAATTGTGTAAATTCTAGTGTATCTAGGGATATCTTGGAATATTCCTTAGGGTTAGATATTATCCTATTAGAGTTGTAATCTTATGAGGGTAAGAATTTAATCTTCCCTACTACTATAAATAAAGGCACAACGCCGCACCCGCTCTTTCTTTCTAGCCTCCATAATTGTTCAGTGAATTATGCCTACAACACATTATCAACATGCTCTTGACGCTGCGTTAAAGAGATTTTGATCTTCAATCAGGGGAGTATTACATTTTAATCATTCTTTTTATGATTAATTTATTATTTTATTGAATTGATATACATGCTATTGATTCAATTTAATTTTTCTTTGTTGAACGTGATACAATGCATTGGAGATGTAATTCCGGCTTTTCGAGAAGAATCTTCTACAAACTCAAAGGCTCAATTGTTTTATGTCAATCAGGTTCTTTTAAAATAAAGTAAGATATTTGAAACGACCACGAATCATGAAAACATTCTCCATGATGTATGAACCCCTACATTTACATTTACCTTCTGATGTATATATTGTATATGTTTTATATATTTGTCAATATATATATACACACGTTTCATGCATTACACAATTTTTGCTATGTGGAATTTGTGAGTCAAAGCATCGAAATAAATTAGTAGCAATTAGGGTTTTTCAAACCCTAGAGTCGGAAAAAAAAATGGGATTTTTTGCGACTCCATGCCTCGTTGCCACCACACGCTGAGCCACGTTGGCTGGCCTGCAGCCTAGCCCGTTGAGCAGCCGTGACTGGACGATGTCATTTTGATGTCTGGACCGACAATAACAGCCATTTGGGCTTGCTACGCATACACTGACAACCAGGCCCTTTGGTCTGGGTAGGGTTTCCACGGGCCTTATGCCCCTAGCCCATTCCACCAAGCCTGCAACCATGCTGGGCTTGTACTCACCTTGGCCCACTTCCAGAAAGCCTGATGCTTGTTGGGCCTTATCCATACACACATGACCCACCTACAGCAACCCATGTACTTATAGGCTAGCCCCTGTGTCTCGGCTCACTTGCCAGCAGCCTCTGAGCCGCTGGGCTTGCATCGCTCTGGCCCAAAACCAAAGCCAACTCACGCTGGGCTTTTTCCCGCATCAACCCAAGCCAATGCAAGCTGGGTTTGCGTCATTATGCATGTTTTTGGCCTAATTCCAGCACCTTTGAGCTACTGGGCTTATATCCCAACCCACGACCCAAAGGCTTGCAGCCTTTCCGTGGCCCCTAAAGGCCTGTAACTGTGCTGCAAGGCCCTGTCTATGCATTACATCCAGCCTAATTAAGCTGGGATGCATTGTTTTTTCGACCCTATGCCAATTTTTGGCATTCTCGCTTCATAACCATACCCATTTAATTTTTGGGACGTTTTGGTTAACGTTAATTAAGCTATAATTCACTTGTCACTTGACCCACCGCCAATTGAAGCTAATAAGACCCACATGTCATTAGTTTGCTTCCACGATCGACCCCGTATGATCCTGAGCTATTGAATTAATTAAAAATGACCAACAATCCATTAATCTGACAAGACATCCAAAATTATTGGCCTTTTGGACATTAACGAATCAATAATTTATTTTGCTTCTTTGAACCGTTGACATCCTTTTGTAGTCCTGAAGCTCTCACACTTGAGTTCCTGAAGCAACTCAAATCCACTGCACTTCAATCAGTACCTTGTATTATGTGTTCTTGTAGGAACCTCTCTTTTATGAACTAATCATTCATAAACTAAATTGAACCTGTAGTTTCAAATTTAGTGCCTTTAAAACCCAAAGTTTTCTTATAACAATACACCCATGAAAACCCGACGTTTTTCATGAAAATCATATCTTAGGACACGAATGTTCTAACTTTGATACTTATGGATATCTTATTTTCATAGCACCAATCACAATCTTGTACCCTTCATTCAGTGGATTGTTGAACCTTAGATTTCACTAATTTGGACGTTTCTTGACCGAAACCACTTCATATGGGTAAAAGACGTAAATCTTCACTTGACTATCAAGAAGTTGAGAAACCATTGTAGCCAACAATGGCATGGAAGAGCTAAATAAGCCTCCACCATGATCTTCGTTCGAAGACTTATGCCCAAAGCATTACAAATGGAAATACCTCACGGACGAGGATTCCATGGCACTTTGGCTCGCTCTTACAGATTGTCTAATCATGAAATATATTGCCTGAAGCACACCATGATTACGTCAATGAATGAGTACGATTCTGAAGTTCATAAATTCGATCAAATTTTGACTGGAGAATACTTTTCTCACCCTTATTTGTTTCTAACTCACTCTCGAAGTAGCACTGTAGAGAACAAAAGTTTACCAAAATTCTCGGATCCAATTACTACCATACTTGTGAGAGAAAGTTACCCCAACAATTCGTCTGGGAGGTATCGAATAATATAGACCCAGTTCGGCTGGAGTCTACCGAACGGTGAACCCAGTTTTCGACTAGTGATTGGGCAGTTTACTTGCTTTGGCATGACCATTTGGGACATTTATGTTGAACAATGATTCCACAATGCATCTCCTTACCCAAAGTAAAGATGTTGTGCTTACAAGCACATTTTGCCAAGCCTGCTCGTTGGGGGAATTGATTTTCTAAATCATTCATAGCAAAGATATGAAACGACCCTATTTTCACAGTGGATTCAAGGGCATATATGTGGACTAATCCAACCAAAATGTGGACCATATAAATACTTATGGTTTTAGTTGATAAATCGACAAACTAGTCACATGTTTGTCCACACACATTACTGCAAAACCTCCTGGCTGATTTTAAGGGTTCACCACCCTACTTATCCCATAAAGTCTAGAAGACTGGATAATGCCGAAGAGTTTATATCAAAGATGCTTCGATAAATATTGCATTTCTTTTGGGTTTATAATTGGACATCGAATTCCCATGTTCATTCTAAAAACAGCCTCGCAGAGTGATCATAAAACGCAATTTAATTGATCACCCGAACCTTGGTGAAAGCACCAAGCTTTTAGTTTCTGCCTAGGGCTTTGCAATCTTGTACGCATCTATATTGGTCTGCCTTAAGGCCTTTTGCCACCCAACCTATTCAACGTTATAGTTGGTTACTGGGTACGAACCTGACATTTCATACTTATGCATTTGGGTGTGCATTCCATGTGCCAAGTTGCGCCACTGTAACATACCAATATGGGTCCTCAAAAAAAAAAAGATGTGAATCTTTGTCGGTTATGATTCTCCTTCACATTAGCTCCTTAGAGCCCTTGCAAGCGATCTCTTCATCACTCATTTGCTGATTGCATTTCAATGAGACAATCTTTCTGCCGTTAAGGGGAGATAATAACGTCAACGTTCCTGTAGAACGACACAAATTTTCCTGGATGTTGCCCACTATGTCTCATCTTGATCCCCGTATTACACAAGTGTGATAAGCAAGTGCGATGTATTCTAGCTTTCAGAATGATGTTCCAGATGTATTCCTCTTATCTAACTAAAGTAACGAGATCATATACCAGCTGCAAACATGCCTGCAAGGATAGACGTACTTAACGGACGTCGAGTCAACATCCTTGAAAGGTGTGCCACCCCTAAAAGACGGTTTGGTCGCCCCTGTTGGATGACTTGGTACACCAACGGATAGCCAATCAATCTGTCTAGGCCTAAAGCACGATAGATCACTCGGTTCATAGGATTCATTTCTTTAGAAGAGGAAGAAGACGACACATAATAAATTCATACTCGATCGTTGTCTCAAATGATTTCCATCTCATGAGATCAATCTGGATTACTCCCGAGACTTGAAGTTCTTGGTATAGTATACTAGTTTGGATGAGATAATGGAATTGGAATGATATTATCATTGATGATGTTTTGCACTTATATGGTAGCTACCGACAAATAAAAAGTGCGATATTGAACCGTGTTTTGTTGATTAGTGACAACGTAGAACTGATTGGACAATCGAAATCACAATCTAGGTTTAAATTCCTTACCAAAGTGTGTTTGGACCTATCGTTCCTACAGTGCCCAAGATAACCTTGTTGTGTTACAAGTGGGAAATGAAGCGTAATGAGATGAATGAAATAGTGTGATATGATGCACGTCTTACCGTGCAAGGTTTCTCTCAAACGCCCTATGATTGATTGCAGCATTATGAAATGTGGTTAGTATTTCTCCATGGGGATATAGATACGAAGATTTTAAGTTCCCGAAGAACCATGAAACACCCTTTCAACTTGTTTGAGGCATTCACTTATGGATTGAAGCAATCCGGCGGATGTGGTATACCCATCTAAGTGATTATTTGACCAGTCAGGGATATGAAATACGCTGTCTAAGTGATTGTTTGAGGCATTCAACATGAATGCTTTCTAGAGGAGCTTTGCTTCTAGAATCATATTTGGCAAGAGGAAGACGATGAGCCTTGCCAAATTGACATCTTTTACAAATGACTTTGCTTGAAAAAAAATTGAAATATTAGGCAACCCATTTACAAGATTTTTTTGAAACATCACCTTCAATTTTTCCATATTAACATGCCCCAACCTAGCATGCCATAAGGAAGCATTTTCATTGCAACTAACTTTATCAATATATGATGAAGAGGCAGATAAAACAAATGTATCTTTTACCCTCTTATCAGTTTGAACAACATTCACTTTTAAAATTTCTATATTCCGGAGAAATTTCACATATGTTGGTCCAAACAAGACAAAATTACCAGCATCCACAACATTAGGAACTGA